CTCACTGGTCAACTCACTGGACAAATACATGACTGACTCACTGGTCAAATACATATCTGACTCACTGGTCAAATACATGTAATACATGTCCCAATACATGTCTCCTTAATACATGTCTGACTCACTGGTCAAATACATGTCTTAATACATGTCTGACTCACTGGTCAAATACATGTCTGACTCACTGGTCAAATACATGTCTGACTCACTGGTCATGTGATTCATTACACACTGTCTGGTTCGTTGTCAAACTGCTCCTCTTTTTGCTGCAGGCTTTTCCATGAACACATCCAGAGGCTCACCAAGGTCGTGACTGCCACTCACAGAGCGTCAAATACATGTCTTAATACATGACTCACTGGTCATGTGGTTCATTACACACTGTCTGGTTCGTTGTCAAACTGCTCCTCTTTTTGCTGCAGGCTTTTCCATGAACACATCCAGAGGCTCACCAAGGTCGTGACTGCCACTCACAGAGCACTTCAGAGTGTATTTGAAGGAAGCTCCGTGGCCTTCAGCCCAGTCTGAGATCAGAAGTATCAATGCGTACAAGACACCGCGGGACAAGGTTCAGTGTATACTGCGCATGTGCTCCACCATCATGAACCTCCTCAGTCTGGCCAACGAAGACTCCGTACCTGGAGCAGATGACTTTGTCCCTGTGCTTGTTTTTGTCCTCATTAGGGTAAGTACTTCAGATCTATGTATCTGCAATAACTCTGTGTGTGAAACCTGTCCTTTCTATTTGTTCTAGCTCTTTTACTGAGGCTAACATGTTACACAAGTGTTACAAGTACCAAATAAAATAAGATACAAATATATTGAATATATAAAATCAATTACAGAGGAGACCAACAGACGAGCGTTTCTTACTTTCTGAAAACCTTGTGATAACTTTGTCAGCCTCTCCTGGTTCAGGGGCATCAACACATTTTGTACTTTCCATATTTCCATATTTATGATTCTACTCTGAATGGCACTACACGGGTTCTTCTCAGCGTTTAATGCGAGCCCATCCCCACATCTCCTCCCCTCCAGGCAAACCCGCCCTGCCTGCTGTCCACCATTCAGTACATCAATAATTTCTACGCCAGCCGGCTGAGCGGGGTGGAGTGCTATTGGTGGATGCAGTTCACCGCCGCCGTGGAATTCATTAAGACCATCGACGACCGCAAGTGAAGCAGAACAGCCACCTGTATGGGCAGACTG